CTTATGAGTTACATGAATCATTTTCCTATAGGAATGTAAGCAGTTTAATATTGAGTCCCTTATAATTTCTCTTTCATGTTTACCTTTTTAGGATTCTCTTGTATCTTGTAATTGAAAGTCAAATTTTCTATTGATCTCCGGTCTTTTCTTCAGGAATTCTTGAAAATTGTCTATTTCATTAAATAGAATTTTTTTTTTCTCCTGAAGGATTACGCTTAGTTTTGTTTGGTGAGTTATTCTTGTTTGCAATCCTAGCTCCTTTGCTTTCTAGAAGACCATATTTCAATCCTCCTTTAATGTGGTAACTGTTAAATCTTGTGCGATCCTCTGACTGTGACAATATTTTAGCATTTTTTTTTCTGACTGCTTGCAATATTTTTTTCCTTTACCTAGGAGCTCTGGAATTTTGCTATAATATTCCTAGAAGTTTTCTTTTGGGGATCACTTTCAAGAGGTGATTCTCTTTTACCCTCTAGGATATCAGGGCAGTGTTTCTTTATAATTTCTTGAAATATGATGAGCCTAGAAGAGCCTAGACAAGCTCTTTCTTTGATCATGCCTTTTAGGTAGTCCAGTGATTCTTAAATTTTTTCTCCTCAATCTATTTTCCATGAGGTATTTACATTGTCTTCTATTTTTAATTTTTTGACTTTGTTTTATTGTTTCTTGATGTCTGTGGAGTTATTAGTTTCCATTTTGCCACTTTTAATTTTTTTCCAATTTATTTATTTATTGTCAGTTTTCAACATTCACTTCCACAAGATTCTGAATTCCAAATTCTCTCTCCTTCCTCCCCACCCATCCTCATTGAGAAGGCAAGCAATTCAACATAGGTTATACATGTGCAGTCATAAAAAACATGACCACTTCTCTACTGGAGAATGGCTTTTGATCCTAGATATTTCTTTAGTTGCCTATATATCTTGAATACCTAATACAAGGGTGGGGAACTTTGTGGTCCTGAGGTCACATGTGGTCCTCCAGGTCCTGAAGTGCTGCTTTTTGACCAAATCCAAACTTCACAGAACAAAGAGTTTGGATTCAGTCATAGGGCAGCACTTGAGGACCTAGAGGGCCACATATGGCCTTGAGGCCACGGGTCCCCCCCGTGTGATTAACTGTTAACAGAGATACTTGATATAATTCTTTCCCCTAGTGACTGCTTCTCTTCTTATGTCATATGCATTAAATTTGTTTGAGGAAAAGTTTTTCAGTTTCATATAATCAAAATTATCTGCATTTAGTAATTTCCTTTATAAATTGTTTGCTTAAGAATTCATCCCCTGTCCATAGCTATGAAAGGTTTATCGTTTGCTTTTCTTCTAATTTTTTTTTTATGGCATGATCTTTAATATTCAGGTATTTCTGCCAGACTGCTTTACAGTTTTCCCAATAGTTAATTGCTCATTTTTCCAAAAGAAAATCACAAAGGAGACCAATCATATTGAAATATAGTTATCAGAATATATTTTAAAACAATTTCATGGATTCCAGGTTGAGAACCCTTGACTTAAAGACTCTTTTCCAACAAGATTATTATAAAACTGGATTTTAATATAATTGGTTTTCTTTCTAGCATTAGGCATTTTTTATGCATTAAAAATTATTCTGAGATGTCTATAGGCTTCTTTAATTCATGACACAAAAAAAGATAAGGTTTAAGCCAATACTTTAAGCCATATTCTACAATAAGCTCCAAAAGGTGGCTAAGTCAATGATATAACCAAATGTAAAAGGTCATATCATCAAAAACTCATAGGACAAAGGAAGAAGATGTTTTTCATAATTATGGCAAGGGGTAGAATTCTTAACTAAACAAGTTATAGAGATGTTCATAAAAGATAAAAAAGAACAATTGTGATTACATGAAACTCAAAAGTTTCTGTACAATCAAAACCAGCACAGTTAGAATAAGCATATGGAGTACATTTACTAAGCACTTAGTAGCTGCCTGACACTGTGCCAAGCCCCGGAAGATACAATGCCAAAGAAACCAGACAATCTCTGCCTGTAAGGACCTTACATTCTAATGGGGAACATGTAAAGGAGAATTGGAAAGTAGGAGAGAGGGAAACAATTAATTTGGAAAATTTCTACACATCAAATTTCTCTGATAAAAGTCGAATATCCAAGATATATAAAGAATCAAGGGAGGCAGCTAAGTGTTGTAGTGGATAGAGCACTGGCCCTGGAGTCAGGAGGACCTGAGTTCAAATCCAGTCTTAGACCAGACACTTGACACTTACTATCTGTGTGATCCTGTGTGATCACTTAACCCCAGTTGCCTCACAAAAAAATAAAAATAAATGAAATAATCAATACAAATTGTAAGAAAAAGAGGTTTATCTCAATAGTTAATTAGTCAGTTAGTCAAGAGCAAGCATTTATTAAGTGCTTATTCTATATATGCCAGACACCTTGCTGAGTGCTGAGTATATAAAGAAATTTGAAAACATGGTCCCAGCCCTCAAGAAACTTACATTCTAATGGGAGAGACAACATGCTAAACGTTATACACACAGCATATATACAGTGTAAATGGAAGGTCATTTTAGCTGGAAGACGTTAGGGGAAGAGGAGGAAGGGGGAAGAACAAGGTCTCCTTAGGAAAGTGGAATATGAGCTACCTCTAGAAGGAAATCCAGGAAGCCAGGAGATCTGGAGGTGAGAAGGGAGAGCAATCCAGGCAGGGGGACAACTAGTGAAAAAAAGCACAAAATAAGGAGGTGCAAAGTCCTATCCTGGAATGCTCTTCCTCCTTTGCTCCAAGTGCTGACCCCCTGGCCTCCTTTAAGTCTCAACTAAAATCCTACCTTCTATAGGAAGGCTTCTCCAACTCTTCTTAATTCTAGTGCCTTCCCTGTTAATTACTTCCTATTTATCTTGTATATAGCTTGTTTCATATATATTTGTTTGCATGTTGTCTCCCCCATTAGACTTTAAGCTTCTTCAGAGCAGAGGCTGTCTTTTGCTTCTTTTTTTGTATTCCCAGCCATTAGCACAGTGCCTGGCATACAGTAGGCAATAAATGTTTGTTGACTGATTGATTATAGGAGGATAGGTATGCCAATGCAATTGGTGGAACTGTGAATTGGTTCAACTATTTGGGAAAACAATTTGTAATTATAGTTTAGTGACCCAAAGTAATTAAATTTTAAGTCTCTTTCCAATTCTCCACTCAGCTGTCAAATTCATCTTCCTAAATCTTAGGTATGACCATGGCACTCCTCTGTTCAATAAACTTCAATGACTCCATTTGGCTTTTAAATCTCTTCATAAATTTGTCCCTCTTACTTTTTTACTCTTCTTTCATATTAATGTCCATGTTTTCTGTGATCCAGTAACACCGGCATCTTTTGCTCTTCCTCACATAAGCCTCTTTATCTCCTGACAGCATTCCTTATCTCTGTCTCCTGGCTTTCCTGGTTTCCTTTCTTTCCCAGCTAAAATCCTACTACTAGTAGTCATATACCTTAAGGAAGTCAGGGACTGAGTAAAAGAAATACAAGAACATAGCATCACTTTTTGTTGCGGCACAGAACTGAAACAAAACAGATGCCCATTAATTGGGGACTGACTGAACAAATTATCATGCATAAATATGATAAAATTTTATTGCTCAATAAGAAATGAAGAATGACAGATTCAGAGAAATATAGAAGGACTTATATGAAGTGATACAGAGTGAAGTTAGGACAACCAAGAGAACAATTTATGTGATGAGCAAATGATATGAAGTAAAAAACATTGAAAGACCTCAAAACCTTGACTTCAAAAGACCAATGATTTTTGAATCTCTTGGAGGCAAAGTTGTCTAGGACCACATATGCATCCTTAGATATGTCCAATATCTTGATTTGTTTTTCTTTACTATAAATACTTGTCATAGAAGAGAGTTTCTGCTTGGGTGGAAAGTGGAGATAGGTTGGGGGGTAGTGATATACATAAAAAAAGGAAGCATCAAAAGTATTTAAAAGTTGCTTTTTTTTTTAAAAGAAGAGAGCCTTTTATGCAATATTCCCATAAATTTTTTCATGCTGCTGTTCTATCATTGTTTCAATTAAGAAGTTAAGCAGCTAGGTGGCACAAAGGATAGAGCACTGGATGTGGAATCAGGAGGACCTGAGTTCAAATCTGGCATCAAGCATTTTCTAGTTATGTGGCATTGGGTAATTCATTTAACCTCTGTTTGCCTCAGTTTCCTCAACTGTAAAGTGAGGATAATAATAGCACCTACCCCCCAGGGTTGTAAGGATCAAATGAGGTAATACTTGTGAAGTACTTAGCACAGTTCCTGGCATAGTATATGCTATATAAATCCTAACTATTATTATTATTAAGAACGGAAAATGAATATTACACAGAGCACAGCGGATAGTAAATGTGAGTAGACTAAGACATAAAATAAATGAGGAACTTCAAAGAAAAACAGAGTGAAGGATTCCATCAGGGAAATTATAATATGAAAGGAATATGGGCTGTTATATAGAAATGATTGACAGGTCTACTTGCTCTCCTAGTATCCTCAAAATATGAAGAGAAAATGAGCAAAGTCTACAGCACATTGAATATACTCCCCTGTAGCAAACTTATGGAAAGCCATGAAAAAGAGTTGTAAAGGATGGTCATGGATGGTTGTTGATCTGCATCATTAGAGGGGACATCCAAATGAATGAAATCACAGATTCATTTGAGTATTTAAAAGTACTCAAAGTAAAGTATATGTAGGTTCTGCGTCTAAAGAAATGAAAGAGGCTAAGTGTAATATCTGCAATAAAAGCAAAAAAATGACTAAACACTGAGTGTAAATTAGCCCTGAAAACAAGTGCACAAGAACATGAAAGTGTTTTGAAAAATATCAAGAAGTATATGTGTATATATTTCCTTATATATGAGGTTTTACTGTATTATGTTAATATTAAATAAAGGAACATATCAAAGTTATAATGCTAGCTTAACAATTATTGACAAAGTTTGATGCAAATAGGCATTTAACAAACCTTAAGCCGTTTTTCCAAAAATTTGGCACCACCATCAGCTCCATAGGAAAATTCATATGGAAAACTCCAGTCTCGGACAAGGAATATTAAGGACTGAAATAAGACAAAAAAGGAGTAAGATTAAATTAATTAGGGAACTTTAAGATGTTTTTCTTCTTTTATATTAACTCTGAAAGGTAAATCAGTGGTATTCTTTTAAAAAAATTTTTTATTAATTTATTTTGATTTATCAACAATCACTTCCATATGCTTTTGAGCTTAAAATTTTTCTCCCCCTTCCTCCCCACCACCCTCCCCAAGATGGCGCACAATCTCATATAGGCTATACATTTACATCCCTATTAAACATATTTTCACATTAGTGAAGTTGTAAATAAAAATTAAAACCAATCAGAGGAACCATTAGAAAGAGGAAAAAAACTCAACAGAGGAGAAAAAAAATGATAGTGATTCAACTTCCATAGTTCTTTCTTTGGATGTGGATAACATTTTCCATCATGAGGCCTCTGGGGATGTCTTAGATCCTTGTATTGCTGCAGTGGTATTATCTTTGAGCGTGCATCTTAAGCATAGAAATTTTGTTTTGCACATCACTTTTTTGTGTTTGTATTTTTAAATATCACACTGGGCCCTAAAAGACGATCAAAACATAATCATGCTTGGAGGGAAAATAGTCTTTGTTGTGTGCTTGAGAGAGAAGCAGATAGAATCTTCAATTGCTTGCTACAGAGCTACCATTTCTACCATGAATGTTCAAACGCCAAATGTATGTTTGCCTAAAAGACTATTTTATGAAGAACTCACTCCAGGAAGGAGCTCACAGGTGGTCAGAAGAAGCAATGCAAGGGCACTCTCAAGATCTCTTTGAAGACCTTTTGAATGTGTTGCATGACATGGGAGATACTGGCACAGGACTTTCCAGCATTGTGTGCATGCATCAAAGAAAGCACTGTGCTCTACGAGTGGAGCAGAATTGCAGTAGTTCAAAAGGAATGTGAGATGCACAGATTTACAGCCATTTCCACTCCAAATGGACTCTGTGCCTGACCTATTTGTGCTCTACCAAGGAAGAGCCTTCCAAGCTCATACTGGTCTCATCAGCCACAGTTGGAAACACTTTATCTTGACTCCAATATAGTGATGTGATTTTGTTCCTGTTTGGGAAGAAAGGAAACAACTAACCAAACAGTTTCTGCCACACTATATTCTAGTTTCCCTAGCAGTTTTTGTCAAAAAATGAGCTGAATATGAATAGCTGAAATCATTGAGTTTAGAGAACACTAGGATGCTAGATTAAATTTCTTCTGTATGTTGTATACCTAATATGTTCTCCTCATTGACCTCTCTACTTTTAAAGTTAATACTAAATAGTTTTGATGATTATCCCTTTTAGTTTAGTTTGAAATTTGGTACTATTGGGTATCCTTTCTTGCCACTTTTATTCATTATTTCCCTTGAAATTTTTGACCTTTTGTTTACACAAATGAATTTAAAAAATTTTTTTTCTAGTGCTAGAAAGTAATCTTTGACTACTTTTATTGGTATGGTATTGAATAAATAAATTAATTTAGATAGCATTGTGATGTTTATTGTATTGACTTTGTCTAATCACGTATAATTAATAATTCTCCAATTAAAGAAAGGACCTAAGACAACTGTCTTTTATTTTGTAAAGAATGTTTTGTGCTTGAATTCATATACTTTCTGTGGGTGTCTTGATAGATATGGTCACAAATATTTTATTCGTTCTTTAGTAATTTTGAATGAAATGTCTCTTTCTGATGAGTTTTATTGATAACATACAGAAATAATGATGATTTATTTGGATTTATTTCATATTCTGCAACTGCTGAAGCAATTGTTTCAATTAATTTTTAGTTTACTCTCTAGTGATTTCTATATAAACAATCATATCATCTGTAAAAAAAGAGATCATTTTATTTCTTCCTTGTATGTGCTTATTTCTTCAATTTTTTTCCTTGACTTTTTCTTTTTTTGCTATAGCTAGCATTTCTAGCACTCTACTATATAATACTAGTGATGCCCCTGATTTTATAGGGATGGTCTTTAGTCTTTCCCCATTACATATAATGCTGACTCTTGGGTTTAGGTAGATAGTATTTACCATTTATTCCTTTATTTTCTAGTTTGTTTTTTAACATGAATGGATGTTGTATTTTGTTGAAAATTTTTTTCTACATCTATCACTATGATTCTGTTTTTCTTGTTACTCATATATTCAATTATATTTTTAATTTTCATAATATTAAACCAACCTTGCATTCCTGGTATAAATCCAACCTGATCATAGTTTAATATCATGTTGTTATGTTACTATAGCCTCTTTGCCAATATTTTCTTTAAAGTTTTTGTTCTGACATTCATTTGGGGTATTGGTCTATTCTAGGGGTCCTCTATTTCATTAAACATTCATTTCCTAGTAGGATTATACTCAGTTTTGCTAGGTAAATTTTCTTGATTGTAAGCCTATATATTTTTTGCTTTATGTAGTATCATTCTAAGTTGTCCTCTTTATCATCATAGCTGCCAGATCTGATATCCTGATAACATCTCCTTGGTACTAGAAATATTTATTCTTAGTGACTTGTAGTATTTTTTTTTAACCTGGAAACTCTAGATTTGGGTTATGATATTTCTGTAAGTTTTCATTTGGGAGGAAATTCAATTTTTCTTAAATTATTGCTCCACATCCCTTTTCAGTATTCTGACTTCAAATTCATTTGGGGGAGTTTATGGTGACAACTCTGGTACAACTCTTCTCCCACAATGGGACGGGTCCTGTGTTTACCTGAGCTTTACTATCTGCCTACATTGGCTTCTGGTCATCTTTTGTGTAGTCTTACGCTAAATGGAAGTAATTCTATTTCTTCTGTTTTTATTGCAATGGGGAAGGGAGATTGACACATGCACAAAGCCTTGCTGATGCCACTCTGCATGGGCAAATGGTTAGGAAGCCTGCTTCTGAGAAAGTAGTGGTGAAACATAGTAGAAGTACCTTGGAGACTATGGAGCATATGTAGACATTATGTAAACTGGTTCTAGTCCGTCACTTTGATTGACTGCAATTACAGAACTGGAGTTGTTTTCAAAAGGTTGTAGCTGGCCTTCCTTAGGTTAATATATGACTCTGTGAAAATGAGCCTCAGTCCTTCAACATTATTCTATTTTTTAGGTGAATGAGATTAATCTAGAGGCTCCAACTTTGTGAATTTCAAAAGTTCTAGAGAGAGAGGTGAGGGAATCTGGGGATTCTAGGAGTTGAGTCCATGCTGTTTTTTGTAGCCTGTACAACACTGATGCCTTGACAAGTAAGTGCATGTCCTGTAGAGTATTTACTGGAGGATATGGACAAGAGTTGCCCAAGATGAAAAGGCATGGATGCATTTCAATATGCACTGCTGGAGGAAGTACTAAGAAAAGATCCATCAAATATTATCTTCACATTTTTTTTGTTTTCCAGCCCAAGTAAACATATGACAGCCAGTAATTTTCTCTGTGGAGTTGTACATTCCTGTTTCACATCAATTGGGACTACTCTTAAAAGTTTCTTCACTAAAACCCTAGAGTGGTAAGATTCAAGGTATATTAGAGATACTTTTAAAAAATGCATGTTTTCATGTTTGGAGATGTTGCTTGCAAGAGAGATTATGAGAAAGAGGGTCTAGATTGACTTCTTAAACTCTAAGAATTTAGCATTTTTAATAACTATGATCTTAAAATATTCATTTTTTCCTTTTTTATCATGTTATTTGATATTTTAGACTGTTTATCCCTACAAATCAATTTTGATATTATTTTGAGTCCTACAAAGTTGATACTTTGACTGATATAGAATTAAAATTGTGAATTAACTTTAGTATTATTCTCATTTTTATTATATTGCCATGGCCCAGCCATGTGCACTGAATATTCCTCTAGCTATTTAAATTTTCCTCTATTTCTTTAAGAAACATTTTGTGATTAAATCTATACAAGTATCTATATACATGTCTCATGTTAGAACTACAGCCTCCTATGAGAGTGGGAGGAAGAGGCAAATACCTTCCGTCTTGTTGCACACATCTCCTGCCTCATCTCCAGCCTCCAACAGGTATATGAACTGGAGAGGATGAGCACTTTACCATCATACCCCATGTATTTCCTGTCTCATCTCCTGCTTCCTGTGGGAAGAGGAGAAGTACCATTCCATCTTACCTGTGTCCTCTTGTTTAAACATACAGAGGAGGCACCATTTCATCAAGTTTCCATCCTAGTCTCCTGCCCTGGGGAAGGAGATAATCACCACTTTTTTCTGATCCAAATTCTTACCTCCTCATCCAAATTGCCCATGGCTCTGAAAGGAATTCACTCATAGACCATAATACTATTTTCTTTGAAAACCTCTTTAAAAAATTTAATTTGAAGATTAAGAAACTCTGAGAGGATTCTGGGAAGATGGTGGAGTAAGTCAGAAAATTCCAAGCTCTCAAGATTTCCTCCCATAAAAGAGATTAAATAATACTTTAGGGCAAACATAGAGCAATAAAAATAAATAGGAATAGGGGCAGAACAGGGGTCTTCCTGGGACAATTGGGGAAGATCTGAAGAAAAGTCCCAGGATGAGGTTTGGTCCCTGTGAAGAGTAAACACCTCCAGGCTAGGTCCTAGGTCCACTTAAACAACAAGCTGCAAGTCCTGGGTTGGGAGGCTGCCTCCACCTCAGCTGTAGGAATTTTTATCCCTTGGGACAATGAGAGGCGTAGGGCATCTGAGCTGATGAAGATCGAGGGAACCTCTGGTGACAAGGAATGACACACCCAGCTGTGCTGCAGATTTGCAGCAGGAGGTAAATGCAAAAGTAGTGGGGCCCAGATGCCTCTTGCTGTGGGCACTTACAGGAGGCTGGAGGTCTTGGTTTTGGTTCTGGGCCCGAGGTGAGAACTGAAGGAAGATCTGAGGTCAGAGGCACCATCCCCCATACCCCCGAACTAGAGAAGATAATGAAAATTAAGCTACTACAGATAAAAAAAAAATGCACAGGCAAAGGAGAAAGAATCCAACATAAAGAGTTACTATGGGATTAGAGAAGACCA